GCAGCGGGGCGTGTCTGCAGACGCTTGAGGGCCATAGCAGCTATGTCATGTCTGTAGCCTTCTCGCACGACTCGAGCAAGCTGGCGTCGGCGTCATACGACAACACCGTCAAGGTGTGGGATGCGAGCAGCGGGGCGTGTCTGCAGACGCTCAACATTGGCAAGGCTCTCTACAATCTATCTTTCGATCCCACCAGCTCCTTTCTTCGTTTTGAGATAGGCCCCATTGCCATACATGGCCCGGGAACTTCTAGCGAGATAGCCGTCGTGGAACCTGCATGCCCTCAGTACTGCAGCGCAAGCCTCAGCTCCGATAGCATATGGATCAAGTATGGCGGCAGGAACATGTTGTGGATACCATCAGAGTATCGACCGTCATGCTCTGCGGTGTGTGGGAACACAGTTGGTATGGGCGTTGGGTCTGGCAGAGTGTGGACCTGCACTGTTGACCCAGACACCCCCGTGTGTTCTTAGCGAAGTGTAGACATGAACTAATCGCTCCCTGCGTAGAATATGACCTTCTGATATCTGCTTTCAAGTCGTTATAGGGATGCACATGAGCACGCAAGTTGCATAACGGTATAACCTGCAGCGATCCGGGGAAATGACTGGCGCCGTGTAATCGTGAATGAACCTTGCGTTATATGTTATTGCTGTTTTCGGTGCTGTGTGTAGCGTAGGAATGCATGCAGGAGAGGTGGGGAGTTCAGACCGGGGGCGCGCGTGAGATACCACAAATCAGGCACGTAATTGTGAATGCTTTCGAAAAGCCGCCAGCGTGCGCCACAGCTCATCTCTGCGGCCGACTGCGGTGGGTATAGCGCCGAATACAGTACGATATCTTACAGCAGCCGCTCCGCACGCTAATGCAAATCTCTAGGTGGCAAGCGAAGCTAGCGCGTTCCGAGCCGCTGGGTCGCAATCTGCAATCTTCGCTCCCGACCGGCAAAACTGCCAGACTGCACTTTACTTTTGTTAAAAGAGCTTCTGATGCCCAGGGATGCGATTGTCCTCGCTTTCGCTTTCTACCAGACCCTCCGAATCTCGCAAAGGCCTCTCAGGCCGTGAATAGACAGGGGGTAATCGACGAAGGGCCAATTGACGGCGTTGACGAAGCGATCAACAGCCTGACCAACACAGCAGATGTCGTGGTCGGAGCCTTTTGAGCTGGAGGAGAAATGCTTTCGTAAACATTATATTTGAACGAGAGCCCTAAAACTTTGCAGTCAAGGGTCCGAACCGCCGACGTGTCTCGGGACATGGTGTGTCTCTTCACTTAGGGACGCACCTTATTACTGCTCCAAAAACATATAAACAAGCTCTACTAACACCTGTTAACATTGTAACACTACGCAGGAGTCGCTGCAAGCGTGGTAGCTGCTATGGCGCAAGGTTTCGTGCAGCGTCAACGTGCGAGCAGGTACCTCCCGAATCAAGTTGCTGCTAACACTAGCTAGCGCAAGACAGCCTTACGCCACACGCACGCTGCTTACAACGTTAGATAACCCATCCTTGTTACGGCACCGCCTGCGGATGTGGCTAGGCGCGGTTCTTGCGTGCCGATGCCGGCACAGAAGCGTTCAGTTCGTGCATACGGCTGTTGCAGGAACAACAATTTAGTCCCCAGACTGTCATCATGCAGCAGTCAAGACCCACCTGCGAGCGCGTGCAAATCACCACACACACCTGCAGCGTCGCAGTAAGCAAGACACAGCGCATGTTGCATCTTTACTTCAAAGGTCTTAACGCATCTACTATGCGCAAGTCAACTCAGCAGCTCTAACAATTAAATTCAAGTCACTTTTGGCGTATCTACAATCACAACAGCTGTCAGTACTGTCTATGCTCGCGTCTCTAATACTACATGTGCATCACGATGCGTATATGAGAATGCTGCTGCACACAACCGCAGTGTCCTTCCTGCTCGCAGCTCTACCGCAGCCTGAGCAAAGCCATACGCCCAGATAGACACCCAAGACAGACCATGTCCCTGCATACGGCTGTGTTGTATGCACGATACTCAAACGGCAGCCACAGAAAGCGCTGCGTGTTGCGCAGCACCCACTGGTCATCTACTGAGAGGTGGGAAGCATGCTCTTCTGGCTCCACAGGCGACGTCAGGCGAAGACCCTGAGGCAGCAGAATGTTTCCTTTGTCAGTATGCAGAGCACTACCATCTGGGGAGAAAGTGAGCTCGTAAACGTAGGAAGAAGGGCTGTCAAGCACGCTGCGACACGTGCCCGTCGCCGTCTCCCATACTCGCACTGTGCTGTCGTCAGATGCTGAGGCGACCAGCTGTCCGTCAGGCGAGAACACCACCGCGTTGACA